CTGCTGTAGAAGACTCGTTGCCGCGGTCATCACCCAGCTCTTCTCCTACATGGTGCGCAAACGCGTACGATACGGCTACGTCTGCACCGGAGAAGCCTTCATCTTTGTGTACATCCCGGACGATCCGTCTTCAGTTCAGTGTGCGCTTTGCATACCGGATCGGGATGTCAAGGGGACCGACGATGATGATCTCCAGTGGACAGCCGTCGCGCAGGTCCTGGCATTCACCATCAGAGCATTGACCTCGCCACCAGTTCCCCAGCAGTGGAGCGATGCCGCTGATGGGCTTGATGTCTGGCCCGTGGAGTATTCCGACATCCTAGACCAGACTCCACCTGCCGCTCGCCTGAAACATGCCTCCCCATTGTACCGCGGCAGACGCACTCGCAACCTTTCTCCCTTCAGGATGACGCTGCGATCCGGATGTCGGCCCTCTGAAAACAAACCTCGACCGACAAGCTCCCCCTCGCCGTCTCCTCCCCCATCCCCTTCCCTTACACCGCACTCCGGCCTCCGTGGCCGAACCAGAAGGGGAGGTTCCACTAGGTCAGATGGAAGGTCCACAGGCGTACCGGCACCCGGCAAACCCAGCGATACCAGGCGCATGTCCAATGTCATCCACACACCGGCCATCAAGGACCGCCCATACTGTTCTCAGCAATGTCTTCTTGCGCTCAGGGACGGCAGCCCATTTGATCCCTCCTGCCCCAATTACCAGGACCATCGGAAGGGTCACATGAAGGTGGAAGACTTCCGTTCTCATATCCGGAAACAGCTCGCTAGGGACCGTGGCCCGGATGCCGACTGTCGTCCGCTCTACAAGGCAGGAAGTTGCGGCACACTGCTCAAAGTGAGACTTTCGTCGCATGGGTACACCTTGGTCGCCAAGGCCGTGGAATCCAAGGATAAAGATAAACTCCAGCATGAAAGGAAGGTCTACAATCAGCTCCGAGACCTCCAAGGCGAATGCATCCCGGTCTGCCTTGGCGTTGTCAAATTGGAGCCAAAGCGCCCCTATTACCATGAAGAAAAAATCCACACCCATATTTTACTTCTGAGTTGGGCGGGAGAATCGATCGAAAAAGCTGGAACGCTTAGCCCCGCGAATAAACGGTCCACGGTATGCCGTGCCCTCCAAGCCATTCACTCGAGGGGGATTCTCCATGGCGACGCGGAGCCGCGAAATATACTATGGGACCAGGCCTGCGAACGTGTGAGGGTGGTTGATTTTGAACTAGCCACTATACAGCGGCCTCTCTCCGATGTGTCCACCAACGTTGCAAGAAAGAGGAAAGTGATGTCAACTTGTTTCAGCAAAGAGCTTCAACACATCGAGACTGTCTTTGGGATACAAGACTTGAAATGACCGATTCGTCGAACTTGTGATCAATAATTTCCTTTCTTGACATTGTAATTCTCGCGCCTGTACTCCACGTTTTTTTAATTTTTGTTTCACTAATTTCACTACACCTGTAATGAAGTGGAAGGGTATTCCTAGCCTAAGAGAGCTCCTTGCTCGAGCACGCTGTCCAACCTACTCTCCTTATCTCATAAACTTCCTTGTTCAGACACGCTTCAATCTGAGTCTCATCCATGCTGGCTCCTGGTCGCACTGCCAAGACACAAAATTTCTCAATGACATCATTGCACATAATTCTGAAATCTAGGAACAGAAACTGGCTCGCGACCAAAAATGCACAGCCTTTTCGGATCACAACAAACAGAAACATAGCTTCTAGCATCAACATATAAAATAGCGAGCGACAGAGAGTAGCGCCAAGCTTAACAGAAAGTTCGTGGAAAGCTACAAGAGACAATCCGGAAAACATAATAGCGTAGAAACAAACCACATGAATTGGAAAACTAAAAGAGAAAAAGAAAATTTGGGTTAGAAAACCCCCAAAGGAATCCCCCCTCGGCCCGCCTTTAGCAAACCTTGCTGCGTAGCCAGAATTACGTGCACCAAGTGTCGTGCTGTCAGCAATCGGAAGATATGAAATCTGCCCCCTAGATCCTCAGGAGCGTTGTATTTCAGTCATTCCTTCCAAGAACGTTATGATCGCAGGCGTTCATTTGGTACCCTTTGCCGCTTCTACGAGGGGTCCTCCTGTTGCTGTCCCCGCTTCCGTTTTCTAGGCTTGTTCTGCTCCTGTAGGTGGTGACGAGCATATTTCTCCCCTTACAACTTCTATCCCGGAACATGATTGGAACACTTCAGCATGCACAGGATAACTCAGATGCTGTAAACTAGTAAAGATTCTACGTATTGATAGCGTGAATTCTCTTTGTTTTGTCTTTTAATATAGCATCTTTGACGAAAAGATTGATTTTCTGGAAAGTCATACGAGGTGTACTTATGAGATTGTTGGAATGCCGCAAGGCCCAAAAAGGTTTGAGGCGATGATAGTTGAGCTCTAATTGATACTAAATAGAATTAATGATTGCTCTTGTTCTATCACAGGTGAGAAGAGCGACGGGGTTTCTGCTGAGATGCGAATATCTTGTCGATTTGCGGCGTATGATATATTACGCTTTAAGAATATACATATAGATACCCAGAACCGAGGAGGCTTTTATACTTCTCTCCGGATCTAGACAGAATAGACGAACGGAAATGGAAGAAAAACCCAAAGTGAGAGGCAAAGAAAGGAGGGGGAAGAGCAAGCAAACAAAGACACAAACAAAGGAACCGTCCGACGAGATCTCATCCAAAATTCTGTCAAAGTCATTTTCTGGAGTTTCGGGTGGCTGGGACCGTTGGCCTGCAGGGCGAGAAGAGATGAGAGGTGTAACAGAGGGGAATAGGCGAGGGGGCAAAGGATGTCCGAGCTGCTGTGAGGGACAGAGTAGGGAAGTGAGAGTGTCGGCGGTGGGATTGGGTCTACGTGCTGGGGGTTTGGGGGGTGTGAAGATGGCGGGCAGGTTGGGGCTTCGTGGCTTGGTTGCACTCATGGGATTTGGAGGTTGATAGAATTGGATCTTGTCCATGGTGACTGCGGCCATGGCTTTTCTCTCTGATTTTGGGTTCGGGGAAGCCTTGATTCTCGTTCTGCAATCGGTGCTTTTTGAGAGGGGAAAATCCGGCGCTTTTATAGAGCAACAACTGGAAAAGCTCCTCCATCGGCAGAGCTCCCAAAGTTTACGAAGGTCTCGTGGATACACCCCAGCATTTTCGGAAAACGTCTCACCTCCTCACTTCAACACCGAGAACCACCCGCAAAATAGTAATCGATCGCCATGCAACACACGAATGCAACATCGAGCCAGGGTTCCTCCGGACCACGCCATTGATCAGGCCTGAGCTTAAGGATCATCGAAAGTTCACCATCGAGCACACACCCGGAAACGAGCGAGGCAAGCTGGCGTTATCCAAGAGGATGAACACAGATTGGTCATGGGGGCGTAGAATCGTCGACGAATTAGGTACGGAATAACAGGCACATGCGCTGGCGCCCACGCCCTTGGATCATGCAGGAGGCCCCGTCTCATCATCACACGATCACTGCGCCCCTGATATTCCCTCGCCCCCCTCAGCTGGAAACAGCTCAGCGTCAGGTTTGCCGACATCCCTCACCAATCAACAGAATCGTGGGCCTGGGGACAGGAATACCGCGCTTGGATACAAGGATGCACGGCCCAACATTTCAGAGGAGCCAATGCAAGTATCGATACCAGCCGGATGCTCAG